ACTATGACTGTGGAATCATCTGTTGGCTTTTCAACTCTTTTAAAGTCTGATTTATGTATTTTGGGGCTCTTTCATTGGGTCCATAGATATTTATTATGCTTGTATCTTCATGTTCAATTGATCCTTTAATCATTATATGATGTCCTTCCTCGTCTCGTATGGTAGTTTTTGTCTTAAAGTCAATTTGATCAGAAATTAATATTGCCACTCCAGCTCTTTTACAGTTGCCATTTGCTTGATAAATCTTTATCCAACCTTTGATTTTTAGTCTATTTTTGTCTTTGTCTCTAAGGTGTGTCTCTTGTAGGCAGCATAGTGATAGGTTTTATTTTCTTATCCAGTCTGCAACTCTTTGTCTCTTGAGTGGTGCATTTAATCCACTGACATTCAGTGTAATTAGCGACAAGTATGAATTGGTTGCTGTCATTTTGTTAAGTGTTTTTTCATGGTGCCCCTGGTTTCTTTGTTCCGTATTATTTTCTGTGCTGAGTTCATTATGTTCATGGATCATAAACATAATATTATCATTTCCTTTGTTGCTGTTGTTTTAGTATTTGCTGAATATTTGTGCTTGTCCTCTTTTTTATTGTGATGTGAAGGTTTTTCATTTTTCTTTGAGGTTACCCTGCGATTTATAATTTTCTCCCTGAGTTAAGAACAGTCCATTCTATCTTGCAACTCTCTTGACTTCCTTACCATTTAGCAGTTCTGTAACTACACAGTCTTTTCTCTCTTTTTGGTGTGTAGTTGTCCTCACTTGTCTTATCTCTGCCAACACTTCTTGTTGTTCTTTTTGATACAACCACCCTAATGAATGTGAAATGGTGTCTCATTGTGCCGGTGGTTTGCATTTCCCTAAGGATTAATACTGTTGAACACCTTTTTCATGTGTTTATTGACCCTTTGCTTATTTCCTTTGGATACATGTCTGTTGAAGTCTTTTATCCATTTTGAAACTGATTTATTTAAGTTTTTATTGAGTTGTAAGAGTGTTCTTTATATGTTCTTGATAAAAGTTCCTTATGAGATACATGATTGCAAGTGTTTTTTTCCCATTCCATGTGATATTAATATCTTTTCATTTTCTTGATGGTGTTCTTTGAAACATCTTTAAAAATTTTAAATTTTTTAAATTTTTATGAAATCTAATTAACTATTTTCCTGCTTATACTAATCACCTAATCAAGAAAATTTACTCCTATGTTTTCTTCTAAGTGTTTTATCATTTTAGTTCCACAATTAGGCCAGTGATCCATTTTGAGTTTATTCTTGGATATGGTGTAAGGTAAAGCTCCACTTTCAATCTTTTGTGTGTAGATATCCAGTTGAAAAGACTGTTCTTTCCCTCCTTGAATTATTTTGTCACAAGTCAATTGACTGTAAGTGTTGGAGCTATTCTTAGACTCAGAATTCTGTTCCATTGACCTGTATATCTATCCTTGTGCCAGTAGTCCACTGTCTTGATTACTGTACCTTTATGGTAAGTTTTGAATTCAGGAAGTTCTTCTTCTTTGATACTTTCTTGGTTATTCCAGGTCCCTTGCATTTCCATATGAATTTTAGGATTAGCTTGTCAATTTTTGCAAAAAAAAAAAAAAGACAGCTGGGATTCTGATAGGGACTGCGTTGGATCTGTAGTGTTCACTCTCACTCACTCTCATTCGGCCTGAGACTTTGGATTGTTACCTCTTTTGGGCAGGTTGTGTGGCCTACTTACAAAATACATAGATGTGCTCTTGTTGGGACATGTTATGTATTGACTTTAGGTCACAAATGACTGGGAACTTAGAAAAAATGTTACTGAAATGTAACATTCATACAGAAATCATAAGTATTCACCTTGATGAATACTTACTAAGTGAGCATCCCTGTGTAATACAAACCCAGCTGCAAAGACAGAACATTGCTTATATTGTAAGAGACTTTTTGATGTGTTTCCTTTGGTTTAGTTTGGTTCATTTACCTGTATGCTCTTGTGGAGCCCAAAAGCTTATCTTAACTGTATATTTGGAATGTAAACTTAGAGATGTAGCCAGTCCAGTGTTTGAGATGATGGTTTCTAGAGCCTAGACTGCCTGTGTTTGATCCCACCTCTACCACTTATTAGCTGTGAGACCATGGGCAAGTTACCTAACCTCTCTGTGCCTGTTTTCTCACCTGTAAAATAAGAATAAAACTAGCTCATTAAAAAAAAAAACTAACCAGGGACACCAAGCTCAATTGGTACAACACACTACACAAAACATTGTTCCACCTCCTACTTTGACAAGTAGTGACTGGGATCTTAAAAGCTTGCAAGCAGCCATCTAGATGCAACGATGGGGCTCACCTCACCCAGAGCAAAGAAGAATGAAGAAAACCAAAGATTCATGGAACGAGTTAGTTCTGTTGTTGTTGTTGTTATTTGCCGTCAAGTCGGTCCCGACTCATAGCGACCCTTCCTTGGGTTTCCGAGGTAGTATCACTATGGAAGTAGGATTGTTCTAATGACTGATAAACCATGCGATCCGCAGCTTATACAACTATGAGACCAGAAGAACTAGATGGTGCCTGGCTCTATCATTGTCAACCACTCAGAGTAGGATCTGTGGAAGAGATCCTGGATAGAAAGGGAGAACAATGTGGAACAAAACTAAAAATCATTTGGGAAAAAAAAAAAAAAAGGGGTGAGGGACCACGTTTGCTGGTCTGATAGAGCCTGGTGGAAACCCTGATACTATAGCCCCTAGCTGGAATTGAACCCACGCCTATGGCTTCCAGCCAAACAGAAGATAGGCATAGGAGTTGAACATTTACCTGAGGTAGATACACTCCTTGGAGAGAACAATGATGGGAGAATGAAGGGCTGTTTATGCACAAGGAGACAGCTCAGGGGGCAGGGGTACATGGAGGGATAGACGCAGGGAAGAGGTAACTATCCGGAGGAAGGGAGCTATTGCATTATGGTGAATTGTGATCATGTGATGAGACAGTGTATGTGAACTGCTGTATGGAAAGTGAATTTGCTCTGTAAACTTTACCCAAATCACAATTAAAAAAAAAAAAAGATTTACCTATAATAAAGCTAATATAAAATAAAAATAACCGAAGTCACTGCTGTTGAGTTGGATCCAACTCATAGCAACCCCTCCCTGGGTTTTTGAGGTGGTATCATTATGGAAGTAGATTGCCCAACCTTCCTTGCTTTCACTAGTGCCTGCCAATCATCGTAAGTACTCAATATGTTGTTGTTGTTGTTAGGTGGCGTCAAGTTGGGCTTCGACTCATAGCGACCCTTTGTACAACAGAAGGAAGCACTGCCCAGTCTTGCGCCATGCTCACAATCAAACTCTATATGTGATAACTATTGTTGTCATGGTTATTCTTATTATTGTGTATCTTTTCACTAGAATATAAATCCCTTAAAGGGAAGACCTTGTCTGACTTACTTATTATTGTATTCCCAGAGACTAAAATTATGGTTGGCACATAATAGAGATGAAATAAATTTTTGAGGATGGAAGGGAGGGATTTTAAATAACAAGAGACAGAATTCCTAAATCCTTTTCCTGAAACCACCTTTGACAGCTGTACTGTCTTTTATTTACAACAGCTTTTGGAACTATTTGACAGTGAAGACCCTCGGGAACGGGACTACTTAAAAACAGTCTTACACAGAATTTACGGCAAGTTTCTTGGTCTTAGAGCATTTATCCGAAAACAGATTAACAATATTTTTCTAAGGTAAGTGGAGGGTGGGGAGAGAGAGAGAAGGAAAGTTGGTGTTTTTATATAGAAGTATTAGGTAAGCGCATATTTGAGCTTAATGTACTAACTTTACACTTCTTCGTCTTTTTTTTTTTTTTTTCCTTTCTTTTTTACAGGTTTGTTTATGAAACAGAACACTTCAATGGTGTAGCTGAACTGCTGGAAATATTAGGAAGGTAAGCACATTTTAAGCTAATTGCTAATCTCAGGTGAAGATCATTTTGAAGAGTAGGTTTGGGTGGCACAGTGGAAATGCTGACCTAGAATTCTTGCTGTATGTACATTCGGTTTTCTTGTTTGTGCTTAACATGTTTCCCAACTGACTTCATGGGACATGCTTCCCTTTTCCCCTTGTTCAACAGTTATACATTGCTGATTGCACTGGCATGACTAAAAGAGCTATTGATTCATTCATTACTGCAGAACCAGTACATCTAATAGTGGTCAGCCCAATTCCTACTAAACATCTTACTCTCATTAATTTCTAGGTTACCTGTCCTTTGATGTATCTATTGAAAGCCAAGTTTATAATAAATTTGAAAAGATTGACATTTTCAGAGGAACTATGTGCCTTGTTGTAGTTGTTGAACAGCTGCTGCCTGGAGTAGTAGAATGACTTCTAAAGAGACAGCTATCGGGTAGCTTTCTGCACGTGAGGGAGGCTCAGGTAGCTGGACAGTGGCATTGCTTAGTCTTTCTCCCTAACGTGAGGAGAAAAAAGTGAAGCATGGGAGTTTTCTCTCAGCGGCTTCCTATGCATGGGTGTTTTTGGTCTGGGCAGAAATTTCAGGAATGGGAAGGAAATAACGTCTGGAAATTGGGAGTCACATTTAAAGAGGAAATGAGCAAGGCAGGTGATTATTTATGGTAGAAAAAGAGGGAAGGAAAAGTAAAGGGCTTTAGATATCAAAGCTTTAAGAAACTGTCTGACTATTAGCATAGAATCTTTGCTGGATTATCATAAGCAGTTTTTCTTCTTCACTTAAATTTCTTTCCTTTAAAGTGTCTAAGAAATCTTGAATGCCACCTGGGTGGGTTTGGGGTCGTTATTGACCAATATAAACTGATTAAGATTTAACCAATCTCACAATGACAGTTTGTCTCAGTTTAGCTTGTTGTGGTAACATTGCTAATTCGTGTCTCTTTTCTTTTTCCTAGTATTATCAATGGCTTTGCTTTACCTCTTAAGGCAGAACACAAACAGTTTCTGGTGAAAGTGTTGATCCCTTTACACACTGTCAGGAGCTTATCACTCTTCCATGCTCAGGTAGAATTTTGTACAACTATCTTTGGAGCAAAATAAAACATTTTCAAATGCAAAGCTTTCTTTAATATTGGGAAATAGTTTCCTTAATTAAAAAAAAAAAGACTTGTTAAAGTTTAAAATATTTCACAAGGGAAATGAAAATGTGTATTTTTTTTTTTTTTTGGTGTGCACAGTAGAATTATGGGAATATTTTTAAAGTGGGAGGAGCCTTTGTTCTGCCATCTCATTTTCATTTATTTACAGAGAACTTTGATGATTTGCCCAAGTTCTCACAATTTTATTTTGAACAAGTTTCATATAATAAAATGTATGTGGACTTTTCAGATTTACATCATTGGTCACATTTAATCATTTTTGGATGTTCTGGAATATTTCAGTTCCATCCTCATTCTGCATTCATCTCTCATTTGCCCTTTTACCCCTCTTCTAGTTCATTCATCATTTCTTTTTCACCTTCTACACATAAACACCCTCACAAGGAATCCGTCAATATTTGTCCATCTTGTTTTTAGCTTTCATTACTTTAAAAAGCATATCCCGCTCTTGTCCCCATTCTAATTTCCTTGCTAACACTGCCTTGCATGGTGAGCATGTCACTCGGGGGTAGATAAATGATTTGCTGGCATTACTTTAATATTTCCAACCTCTGACTCTCTCTTCCCCTCAATGGGAATGTTTTGAGTTTGCCTAAAGTATAACACATTTTTCTAAGCAGTGTTGCTGTTTAAATGTGAAATGCTGTGTTTCTAGGAAAATTGCCCCGTATGTTTCTAATACAGAACATCATCAAAATGTTGTTTCACAAGGGTGGATTTCTGGTCCAAGAATTTTTATGAGCCTTCTTACAAATCTTGACTTTTGTGTTTGAAACAGGACATCACATTTAGTCATCTTTTAAAAGAATTCTTATCTAGATGAGTTAGCATCTGATGTAGAATCTTTCCACGTCCCTACAAGCTCATGGTTGGCACAACCTTTTATCTCTCCATGAAACTGCACTTTAGTTCGCTTGTGCCATTTCAAGCAGGTAGCAAGGTTTGTAGTAAGCGTTTAGGACTCTTCTAGAGCTACAGTAAAACTCAGTACCGTCGATGTTAGCAGCGAGAGGAAGGAAGCTTATGGTGGGGGCGTGGCCGTAAGGGGCAGGCTACTGTTTAGATTCTTCACTCAGAGATGGAGCTCAACCCATGAGATACTTTGAAAATATACTGGCTTTGATATTTTACATCTGCTTTTCATTAGCCGGATACTTCATATACCAGTATACTCTTTTTCTCTCTTTTCATAATGCCCCTGGGGCTTTATTAGTGTCAGTCTTTGACTTGAGAAAGTAGATTTCTATTTTGCTTTACGTATTTTTTAATTTCATGGTAGTTGAGATGAATTGAATGTGAAGTTATTAAAACCAGAGTCTGGGAATTTTTTAGGAAATTTTAATAATGTCTTTTAAACTCTTAGTATATAAAATTTATAATTTTTGTCTGTCTTTTTTGTTTCTTCAGCTGGCATATTGCATAGTGCAGTTTCTCGAGAAAGATCCTTCACTCACCGAACCAGTAAGTAATGTCTCTCTCATTTCATAAAATGTCAGAAAGACCACTTTTCTTAGAAGTGGATATGAAAAATGAAATGGCATTCATTCTTCTCTTTTTCACTTTAGGTCATTAGGGGATTAATGAAATTTTGGCCCAAAACCTGTAGTCAAAAAGAGGTAAGTGCTTCATATCAGTGTGTGCTAATCACTTATGGAGGACTTGACTGAGTGCCAACACTGGGCTAAGCGTGGGTGAAGGTGCATCTAGTCCTCATCCAGCTCTGTGAACCCACTGCCATCGAGCTAATTCTGACTCATAGCAACCATATAGGACACAGTAGAACTGCCCCATGGGGTTTCCAAGGCTGTAATTCTTTACGGAAGCAGACTGCCTCATCTTTTTCCCATAAAGTGGCTGGTGGGTTTGAACCATTGAACCTTGTGGTTAGCACCCCAGTGCCTTACTCACAGTGCCACCAGAGTGCCTGAGCTTTTATAAGGACTTTAAGTACTCTTATTTATTAATTTTACTAATAATGAACTTGAGGCTTAGAAATTGAGCATACCCAAGTCCACTGCATATAGGTAACTTATTTAGAACCCACCTTCTTGACTCCTGGAACCCATGGGCTTTTAACCACTTTGCTCCTCAGCCTCAGGTAAGCCCAGGCCAGTCCTGATCATGTTGTCTAACTCTGTTGATGTCATATTCCCAATGATATGATATGGAAGGTTTGCTGTTGTTATAGATAGAAAGTAGAGTATGCTTCCACAACACCCACATACTACAGAAGGAATCTTCCTGTATGTAATTTTAAGACACAGAACAGTTTCAACTGTTTGCAAGTGACTCTGGAGGTCTGTGATAGACTCATTTGTACTCATGCCAAGACCTAAGCAGGCATTGTTGTGTGAGGTTGTTTTGGGTGAGTGAGTCCTTAGTTTGATGGTGAGCCTAGCTAGGTACCAGGTCAGCAGCGACTCTTGTGAAAGATTAGAAACCATGGTTCTTTGTGGATCTTGATCTAGAAAACAAAGGTGGGTTGTTAATTTTACATTTGGGGAGAAGTTCTGAATACATCTTGACACATGGCAAGATCTACCTACTGTGTTTTGCATGTAACAGAAATTGCTTCTCACATCAGCTCAGTTCTCCAAAATCCTTCCTGACACAATTTTTAAGAAACCATCTCATTTCTTAATACCTGTTAGGTAAAATTAACCTATGCATTGCTACCTAGCTGCATCTAGAGATGCAAAAACATTGTTATTTTTCATTACATACTTAAGTTCCTCTAAGGTAGTTATTTTTTTTATGGCTAATAGGTAACTGACTTTTATTTCTGTTTGTTTTCCATTATATTCAAAATAATTGACTATACTATTGATTGGGCTCTATTTTGTGATCTGATAGGTGTTTCCTAAGGCATTCAGTGCTGAGACCATGAGATTCATTGTCCTGTATAGTGAGTGTGTGTGTATGTGAGTGTGTGTGTTTAAGTGTAGAGGATGGGTCAAACTGGGCTAATGGATTAAAGTGGTACTTGGGTGTGGATGAGACTGTTCATTTGTGTTTCTTGGCATTTGTCTGTTCTGTTAACTGCTGTGTCCTAGAGGGGTACCTACACATATAGCAAAGGCTGTAAATGTGGGAAGGAGCCTTGGTGTCCCAGTGGTTAAAATGCTTGACTTCTAACTGAAACATTGGCAGTGTAAACCCACCAGTTGCTCCACAGGAAAAATACGTGGCAGTCTGCTTCCGTAAAGATTTATACCTTTGGAAACCCTAGGGGACGGTTCTACTTTGTCCAATAGGGTCATTAAGAGTTAGAGTTGACATGATGGCAAAGGGTTTGGTTTTCATATAAATACCGAATGAATGATTGTGTGTGCCTCTGTGGACTTTGGCACATCCATGCAGAAGGGTCACCCTCCTGTTGGTTAACAACAACAAAAAAAGGGAGATAACTCAAGTAATAGCAGTAGGTGGAAAGTCCCACAAAGACATTTTTGTTCCAGGGACCCAACTGCCCCATGCAAGTGTCCCTTACTCTGTGTAACAGATGTGGCACATAAGGTATTTGATTCAAAGTAAGTAGAATCTTATTTTTAGTGCTCTGGGGAACTTGACTTTATGAAGTACACTGCTGTGAATCCTTTATGAAATTAATATATTCTAATGTGAGGTAATACCTGATTTGCTTTTGTTTGTTTAGTTTTATATGTTAACTTTTTTAAAACAGTGCAAATTTTCTAATTAATCCTCATCATTCAGACTGACAAAGCACCTGACATTTTGTTTTGCCTGTGTTCACAGGTAATGTTCCTTGGGGAGCTGGAAGAAATATTGGATGTGATCGAACCTTCACAATTTGTTAAAATTCAAGAACCTTTGTTTAAACAAATTGCCAAGTGTGTATCTAGCCCCCATTTTCAGGTTAGTAATAAAAAGAACATGAGCCAGAGTGGCCTGTAGAAGATAAATATTTTGGTTAAATTTCATTTGTCTTGAAAGAAATACAGTGGACACGAGGTACCTGTTGTTATTTGCTATTTTCTCACATGCTAACTATAATTGTTAATAACAGTCACCTTTTTCTTGAGCACCTGCTACGTGGAAACCACTGTGATAATGCCTTCTGTTCATTAACTATGCTTCTCAGAACTACTCTGTAAGGATGCCATAATACCTTTTACAGACGTGAACACTGAAGCTCGGAGTGGTAAAATAGCTTGTCTCTGGTTAAATAGCTGAATGAGAGTAGACTGGTAGGGCTTCTACAGGGTGAAGAGAGAATGGTGAATATTGCCTGAGAGAAAAAGAGAACCCTAATGTTCTGTACTGTGCTACACACTTCATGTACGGTATTTCCAAACCTTAAATTATCCTATCAGGCCTTTTTTCCCATTTCTTAAATGAGAAAAACAAGGCTTAGAATGGTTTGTTTAAGGTCCTACACCTAATAGGAAACCAAACTCACAGCCATCAAGTCAATTCTGACTCCTAGTGACCCTATAGGACAAAGTAGAACTGCTGCATAAGGTTTCCAAGGCTGTAAATCTGTATGGAAGCAGACCGTCTCACCTTTTTCCCATGTAGTAGCTGGTGGATTCAAACTGCCAGCTTTTGGTTACCAACTGAATGTTTAACATCACCAGAACTTCTTTTCACCTAATGGGGAATCACATTTTGAACTTAGATGTAGCCTCTTACTCCAGCCCATGACCTTCTCATGGCACCACTCTGCCTCCTTGTGGCCACTCAGGGAGAGCTGGGAAAGCGCCTGGGCAACCCTTTCCTTTGGAGCAGCGGCTGCAGTGCTGCAGAATGCCACATGACGGGAGAAGAGTGATCTGACCTAAAAACACGTCTTTGTCTTAGCTCTTTGGCTCTTTCACCAAAGGCCCAAATCACAAATCTGGAAGACTGTCTGCTGCCAGCAATTTGCAGAGATTGTTCAGATTGTAGTTCGTCACACAGCACCAGCCCTCTCACATTCCCCCTCTGAGCTGTTAATATCCTGCATAGTTAGAGACATTGGCCGTTATTGTGGCTTTAATTTTTTGAACTAAAGACATCATGTCAGATATAGCAAAGTGACATCTAGCAGTTGTATCACATGCACACACACACAAGTGGATACCATTGTGTTAAGTGTTCAGATGATAATAAAATGTCTAGATTAAAACAGAAAAATGCAAGAGTAGATATTTTGCATGTTACACAGTGCTCCTGGTGCTTGGACATCTGGCTGGTTTACCATAGTTTTCAGTGTTTGTTGGGATGTTTGGCAGTATGAAGGGCAAAGATCAGGAATCTCTTTTAAAAGGAGCAGCACTAAGGAAGCCTAAAAGATGCTGGGAAGCTTAAAAAGGAGACAAAAGAACTTAATTACCAGACAGAAGTAAGACTGAGATCAAAGGAAACAAAGGAGAGTAACGAGGTTCTTGTTTACTACTTTCAATGTTCATTGGTTCATCCAGCAAATACTGATTAAGTGCTAACTCTAGCCAGACATCTGCTACTGTGTGCCTCAGGTATGGCGTGAGCGCCACAGGTCTCCAAGCTAGAGATAGTGCCACTGTGTGTGCAGGACAATGAGAAAACCTAAAGTCGTCCTAAAGTCAGATATGGTAATTTTCACTTTGCATAAATAACACTACCTCTCTTTAAGTGTTTTGCTTCTGGAAGGGATTTTTCATATTAAAAAACAGATATAAAGAGACTCAGATATTTGATAAAATTAAGTAATAGGTAAATATTAGATTCATAATTGGGTGAAGAAAAGTCCTAAGTTCATCTTTTTTTTACTAGCATCTTGCTGTTATCTTTTTAAAAACTCCTCCTTCCAGTTACACATTTTCCAACACCCTTATCCCCATTCCTTCTTCTCTCCTCCCTCTCTCATTGCCTTGTGCTCTGTCTCCTTAACTATGCTGTTCAGTTTGACAGTTTCCAAACACATCATCCAAGTAGGTGCCTCTGCCCCTTCGCTGTCATTCCCTATGTCTCTCCTCTTTCTGCCTTTTCTCTCATCTTTCCTTCATCTTTCAAGGCCCAGCTTAAATGCTACTTGTCTATTACATTCCTGCTACACCTTTTCTCCCCCAGGTCTTCTGGACAGCGCATGCTACTTTTTTCCCTGATACTTTATTTATATGGCTGATACATCTGCTACAGCAAACATTGGGTAGCCTCATGTTGTTGTTGTTAAGTGCCGTCGAGTCGTTTCCGACTCATAGCGACCCCATGCACAGCAGAACGAAACACTGCCCGATCCCGCGCCAGCCCCACA